CATTTTCTGACTCAGTTTGTCGAGCTGAGTCAGAAAATGTATATAGTTCAAAAGTTTATATATGTATGTATTTATATATATATATATATATTTATACGATATAACGCGGCTTGTCAGCACGATAACGTTTTCAATTTATAACCGATTCTTCTCAAACTCAACATGCTTTATCTATCAATCAAGATCAAGGTTAAGTTCGAAGATGAGCTTAATTGGGCGAGTAAATTGGAAATGACAGGATTTTGAAATTTTGAAAATCGTAATAATTGATGTTTTTACTACTTCAACTTGGTATAGTTACTGAAGTATACAAGATATCAAAATTCTGTAAAATGCATCGTAAAGCTCTTTTAATAAGCTTCAATTTTCACTACTCAGAAGTGGTAATAGCCTAAATATTACTCCTTTTGGAGTTCGTTTAATGAAACAGTTTTACTGTTGCAGCCGTTCTAGTTTTTTTTTTTTTTTTTTTTTAGTATACTATCCTAGTAGTTTTTTTCTCTGTTCATCATGAAATCTACTCCCATTTCGGCTGCCGAATGGCCATTTTTTGTATTTATATTTGTTAAAAAAGCAGTACGTCCCTGACGAATAGGTCCGTACTCCAGTGGATAAGATCCACAGAACTAGGACCAAGAGCTTGCTGATTACGCTTTCGAGGAAGAGCACTGACCAAGGCCAAGCCTTACAGAAGACCATCGTGGATATCCTCCAAGACGCGAAGGTAATCTGCAAAGAACCACAGGAAGACGTCGAAATCCGAGATCTTGACGATACTACAACCAAAGAGGATATTCAGGCCGCCTTGCAAACGGTAATCGGAGAAACCTGCGAGATATTACTAGCGGCAATTAAGATTCGTAAGGCCTACAGAGGTACTCAGACAGCTGTTGTGACACTACCAGCAGCTGCAGCGCGGAAGATATGAGAAGGAAGCAGTAAAGTCCGGATCGGCTGGGCCAACTGCTGAATAAGAGCTACGAGGAGACCAATCCAATGTTTCAAGTACTGGCACTTTGGACACCAGGGATCTCAGTGCAAGAGCAATGTGGATCGGTCTAAGCTATGTACTAAAGGCGGACAAGAGGGACACAAGATTTCTGAATGCAAAAACCCAGCGAAATGTGTATTTTGCGCGGATCAAAGTGCGGAGAACGCAGCCCATTATGCCGGCGCATACAGGTGCCCAGTATTTAAAGAGGCACTCCAGAAGATAACAAACAAACAGATATGAAGATATTGCAGCTAAACATAAACCATTCTGAAGCTGCACATGATCTGTTTATGCAAACTAGAGAGAACTAGAGTTAGACTTAGTAATGATATCAGAGCCGTACAGACACCTGAATACCCAGCCATGGGAATCTGACAGCACCACCAAGGCTCTCATCTGGTCCTGTGGTAAGCATCCCTTTCAGAGGGTAGTTAAAAATGACAATGCCGGCTTTGTAGCAGCAACAGTTAACGGCATCCGTTTCTACAGCTGTTATGCACCACCTAGCCTATCCATTGTTAAATTCACTGAATTCTTGGACAAACTGACCGTAGACGCCAAGCAGCATTATCCAGTCGCGATTGCCGGTGACTGCAACTCCTGAGCAGTAGACTGGGGCAGCAAGCAGACCAATGCGCGAGAAAAAGCACTACTAGAAGCTTTCACTACACTCGATGTAGTCCAGCTCAACAGTGGTGATACGCCAACCTATACTAAAGGAGAAGCAAGCTCTATTGTAGATCTCACTTTCGTCAGTAGCAGCCTCATTAGTGGGAAATACGAATGAAAGGTGATGGATATCCACACAGCCAGCGACCACAAGGCAATTCTCTGGGAAATATCACATGACCGGAATACAATAAGAACAATCAAGTCACTCAATACCAGTGGATGGAAAGTGAAGTCTTTTGACACAAGCACATTGGTAATAGCCCTGAATAGTGAACCGATTACTACTGGATCCGCAGAAGAAATGACCAAGGACCTGATGAAAAGAGTTGTCCAGGCCTGTGACGCAAGTATGGCCCGGAAACGCAGCATAAGCCAACGCCCGGCAGTGCACTGGTGGAACGACCACATCAGCGTTCTTCGGAAAGAGTGTCTAAAGAAGAGAAGAATATCCCAGCGTGGCTATCGACGACCTAACTCTGCGGAGCTGATTGCAGAGTACAAAAAAGCCCGCCGATCATTGAACAAAGCCATCAAGGATAGTAAGAGGCAACGCTGGAAAGAGCTCATCAACGAGGTGGACAAAGACCAGTGGAGTAGACTGTACAAGGTGGTCATGACTCACCTGAAAGTCAAATAAATACCGGCACCCACATGCCCACAACTTCTGCAGAGAATCGTTACCGCGCTGTTTCCGCAGCAACGCGAGCTTCACTACCAGTTAGCTCAAGGTGAACTGGAGGACATTCCACCTGTCACGGAAGAAGAACTGACGGAGGTTTGCAATCGCGTAGGGAATAATAAAGCACTGCTATTAGACGGAATCCCTAATATTGTCTTAAAAACAGCTATAAAGGCAGCACCGGCATTATTCCTGGATGTTTACATCACCTGCCTCAAAGAAGGGATTTTTCCTTGAAAGTGGAAACAGCAACGGTTAGTGCTGCTTCCTAAAGGGAAAAAGCCACCGGATGAACCGTCATCTTACCGCCCACTTTGCATGCTAGATACAGCGAGTAAGACATTTGAACGCATAATTCACCAGAGAATTCACAATCAATCTAGTTGTTGATACGGCCAAGGAAGCAATCGCAGGAACCAGATGGAAGGGTGGAACGAAGAAGTATTGCCTGGTGGCGACTCTGGACATCAGAAACGCCTTCAACTCCGCCAATTGGGAATGCATCATGCAGGCCTTCCAAGAGAAGAATGTACCAGAATACCTTCTTAAGATCGTAGCAAGCTACTTTAAGAACTGGGTCCTGAAGTATGACATGAAGAACGGTCCGAGAGAGTATGATATTACTGGAGGTGTACCACAAGGTTCAGTTCTAGTCCTGCTCCCGTGGAATATTATGTATGACGGTCTATTAAGACTAACTCTGCCAAGAAACGTCAAACTCGTAGCATATGCAGACGACGTAGCCGTAGTGATCGTTGCCAAACACCTTGACGAGATAAACCATATGTTCAATTTCACCTTTGAGCGCGTTAACCGGTGGATGGACGCAGTGAACCTGCAACTGGCGCAACACAAGACGGAGGCAGTGCTTATTACCAGCAGAAAAGTGGTCGAGACCATTAAGCTGAAAGTCCGTGAACAAGAAATCACATCACAACCTTATATCCGATATTTTGGAGTGATGCTTGATGCCCGACCCAACTTCAAACAGCAAGTGGAACATGTC